TGAATATGAAGGTGCATTTCTTCTTTTGTGTGTGAAGGAGGGTAATCGTTACAGTCTCCTCACCACATACCCAGTATTCCAGCACTACATAGAGAAGCCAATGGGCCAAGTTGGTGTGTTTGTTGATTGTGAGGATGGATGTTTAAGTTTTGTGAATGTTGCCAAGAGTTCCCTCATATACCGGTATCCTCCTGACACCTTCAATTATCCTGTCAAGCCTTACCTCTCCAGGGGCCACACATGAGCATATGAAGCTATAATCCAGTACTTTAGTGTTTTTAGAGTATTTCCTGCTTTAATGTTACCCCATTTATTGCTATTAAACATTAAAATACTATTAAATGAAAAAGATGGTAGACTATGTTTTCTTTTCATCAATGGTTCACATATTCCTCAAAGAGCATTTGATTTCAAAGTAGTTTTTATTAGTTTTTTTGTCTTTGCATGCTTGCTAGAAGTACTAATAAGGCTTGAATTAGATTGAATTAACTCTGTGGCCAGTATCCACATTCAAATCTCCACACAAAGATTCCTTAAATCACAGCTTAGCTGGGTGTGGTAGCTCACACCTTTAATCCTAGAATTCTACAAATAGGGCTGCTGAAGCAGGAGTTTTAGTTCAAGGCCTGCCTAGCATACACAGTGAGAATTTGTCTAAAGATACAAAAAAAATTTCTAAAATTCTAATTTTAAAACAATGTTTTGTTGTTTCTAAATATTTTGTGGTGTGCTTATATTTTTGCTTTTTCTTTTATAATGATATCAATCTGTGATTATTTCAAATATCAGCATAAAAAAGCTCTCATTAGTCCTTCAAGAATTTTGTACATATTATTTTTATCAGATTTACCTCTACTGCAACTCCTTCCAAATACATCCCCTTTCCCTACCCACTCAGCTCTCTGATCTTTATAAAACAAAATAATGATATTCCCTGAGTTTTGGAGAGGGTATATACACATTTGACATTTTCTTTCATTTAACGCTGAGCACAGGACCACCATTTCGTGTTACAGACACTTATTCTCAGCAGCTTAACTGGTTATAAGTTTACATCAAAACTACCTCCAGCTGAAAAGAAAAGTTTCCCTTAAGATGAAGAGGACAGCAACAATAACCCACAGGTATAAACGCAAATGTTTACAAGGCAACTAGACAGGCACATCCCATTATCTTTTTTAGACAAATGTCTAGTTCAGCATCCATCGCATCTCAGCATTCAAGCACATATGACATCCCAGCAAAAGATCTTTTAGATTTCAGCTTCAAGACAAGCTGAGGTGACCTCTCATGATAGCCTTTTTATTTCTTCAGAACTCACTCTGGTCTCTCTGTCTCTGAGTCTCTCTATCTCTTTATCTCTCTCTGTCTCTGTCTGACTCTGTTTCTGTCTCTCTCTGTAGCTGCCTGGCCTGGAACTCATTATGCAGACCAGGCTGGCCTTGAACTCACAGATCTACTGCCTCTAGCCTCCTGACTGTTGGGATTGAAGGTAAGAAGCACCATGCACAGCTTCTGTGAATAGTCCTTTTAATACCCTCACCTATCCTACCCCATAAAAAGCACACTTGCCCTTCCTCTGCTCTGCTATCCCTTTTCTCCATACCTTGTTACCTCACAGTATAACACATGACTGCTCTCATTTGATTTAATGATTGCCTCTTGATACCAATGGAGTGTTTGTTATCTAAGAGGGAAAACTTCTCTCTGTTTTGCACATTGATGGATCCCAATTAGATCCCAATTACATACAGCAATTACATACAGTAGGGGATTAAGAAGTATTGAGTGTTTCAGAGCTGAATGACTACTGTAAGGGCCCTGTAGATGCTGGTGATTTGTTGGTTTGTTGGTTGATTACACTAAGTATTAGGCACTGAATGTATACCCAGGCTCTCCTGGGGTCACCACATGGCCCAACTATGACTTCAGACTTGAAGAAGCCCTCTGCTGGAGGCCCCAATGGAAACTCGAGATTGTGGCTGGCTTTGTGACTGGCTCCTTTGCTATCCAATTCCCCCCAGAGGCTCCATGTGATACCATGAATGGCTCCCAGGTTCTAATCTCTGGAACCTATGACTGTCTCTTCATCTGAACAGGATTTGTAGGGTTTTGAAATGAGATTTTATCCTGGATTATCAGGGTGTCAAAGTTTGGATATTAAATATCCATACAAACACACATGCATATAGGCAGAAGTGCTCTTTATACATGACATGGCAGCTTTCAGAGGTGGGACCTAGCTGGAGGAGTAGGGCACTGGAGATGGAGGAAGCTTGAGGTTTAGAGATGAGATCTGTTTCCTGCCCCCTCTCTCTTACCTGCTCCATGGAGATCCTAGTAAACAGTCCCACACTGCTGGGAACAGAGCTTCAAGCCATTTCCACCTTCCATTCCCCCCAGCCCCTTATATTGAATGGTTTCATCTCAAATTGTTAGCAAGAATAAACCTGTCTTCCCTTAAAAAAATCATTCCATATGTATCACTTTATTTCAGTTCCAACAATGTACAGTGACAATAGAGTTCAAAGAATCCTTGGTCTCTGCTTGTTTAGAGATCAAGTTAACCCCCTAGAGAGCTGGAAATGCTGTGGATGTGAAGCAGTTCAAAACCTGCAACCTTTTTCTTATCAGAGACTGGATTTCTCTGTGTAGCCTTGGCTCTCCTGGATGTAACTGTGGAACAGTCTGGTCTGGACCTAACAGAAATCCACATGCCTCTGTCTCTCAAGTTCTGGGATTAAAGACTTACTTCACAACCACTAGACAGAATCTGCAACATTTAAGTCAGATGGTGTTGATTGCTTTGCTCCTCGATGTCATGCTTTTTGTTTTATTACTAATATGTTTTTAGTGGGAATGAAATTACATCATTTTCTCCTTCTATTACTTCTTATGTGTCCTTCATGTAGTTTCTAAAGACCACACCCACTTCCTCCATGGTTGCTTTTTTTTTTTTTTTTTTTTTTGGTTTTTCGAGACAGGGTTTCTCTGTGTAGCTTTGCGCCTTTCCTGGGACTCACTTGGTAGTCCAGGCTGGCCTCGAACTCACAGAGATCCGCCTGGCTCTGCCTCCCGAGTGCTGGGATTAAAGGCGTACGCCACCACCGCCCGGCATCCATGGTTGCTTTTAATAATGCTTCCAATAGATGAGCTCCTGTAAATTAACATTATTCCAAATGGATGAAAGTTTGAACTCATACAGCAGGGAATCTCCACAACAAGATTTCTTGAGTCACTGCTTAGCTGGGTGTAGTAGCTCAGACTTTCAATCCTAGAATTCTAGGGAATAGGATGGTGAACCAGGAGTATTTTTACTACAAGGTAAGCCTAAGGTATACATTGAGAACTTGGAGAGGATTTGGAGCAGGGGAACATTCCTCTATTATTGATTGGAGTGCAAATTGGACAGGCACTTTGGACATAAACATGAATGATTCCCAGAAAATTGGTAAGCAATCTACCTCAAGACCCAATGATACCACTCTTGTTCATATATCCAACAGGTACACAAACATACCACAAGGTCACTTGGTCAACTATGTTCATAGAAGCTTTATTTCTGATAGCCAGAACCTAAAAGTAATCTACATGTCCCTTAACCGAAGAATGGATAAAGAAAATCCAGTATATTTACAGGATGGAGTATTACTCAGCTGTTAAAAATAATGACATCAGGAAATTTGAAATTGAACGGATAAAATTAAAAAAAAATCATCCTGAGTGATGTAACCCAGACCCAGAAAGACAAACACGGTATGCACTCACTCATAAGTGGATATCAACACTAAAGTAAAGGATAACCATGCTGCAATCCACAGACCCAAATAGACTATGCAGCAAGGAGGGCCCAAGAGGGGACACATGGACTCTCTGTAATTAAGAAATAGAAGAGATCGCCTGGGTAGACTAATGGTTGGAGGAGATGGAAACATAAAGAATCAGCTTGGAAGTTGGGTGGAAGATGAGAGTACTCAAAGAGATGACTGAAAAGGGGAGGCACTTTTTCAGGGTCAGGTAGAAAATGGATGCAAGGGTAACTCCCATGAATCTACAAGGATGACCACAGCTAAGACTCCTAGCAATAGTGGATAGGTAGCCTGAGTTGGCCATCTCCTCTGTTCAGATTGGTGACTACCCCAGATTTCATCAGAGAGGCTTCATCCAGTAACTAACAGAAACAGATGCAGAGATTGATAGCCAAACATTAGAAAGAGCTCAGTAAATCCTGCTGAAGAGAGGGAAGAAGGATTGTAAGAGCCAGAGGGGTCAAGTACATCAAAAAGAAAACCCACAGAAACAATTCACCTGGCTCATAAGAACCAACAGCCAGGGAGCCTGCCTGCATGGGACTGACCTAAGTTCTCCAAATATATGTGATAGTTGTGTAGCTTGGTCTATTTCTGGGACTCATAAAAATGGGAGTAGAGGCTTCCACAATGCTCTTGGTAATCTATTCCTCATACTGGGTTGCCTTGCATGACCTTAATACAAGGGGAGATGCTTAATCTTATCTGAAACTTGGTATGCCATGCTTTGTTGCTACCCAAGGGAGTCCTTTCTTTTTCTGAACAGAACCAGAACAGGAGTGGATTTCAGTTGGGCAGAAAGTCAGTGGGAAGAGGGAATGGGAGTAAAGGAAGCAGTGGGCACATAGGTCAGGATGTACAATAAATAAATAATTTTTAAAAAGTCTAAAAAGTAACAAATATTGTTTGTTTAATTAAAATTAAAAATATTTTTCTGTGCATTTTATTTTGCAGTGTGCTTTTATTTTACTCTTGATAAATGAACAAATGATGTCATCTATCTGTGATTTTAGCAACATCAACATTAAAAAATCCTTATTAGTTTTTTACAGTATTTTGAACAACTAGCTTTGAACATATACATCTGAACTGCAACTTCTTCCCGATCCATACCCTTTTCCTTTTCACTCAGCTTTCTGTCTGAAAAAAATTTCATTAATCTCATTTTATTTCATTTTCAACTTTTTGTAGTTGACAATAGAGGCAAAAGATGCCTAGCTCCCCAGCGTCTGGAGATCACAGTAACCACACAGAAAACTATGTGAAATGCTCTAGATATGAAATAAGGAAGAATCTTCTGGATTTCAGGCAAGTGCTGTAGATTGCTTTGCTCCTGGATGCTGTGTGGTTTTCTTATTTCTAATATATTTTTAGGTGAAATAAAATTGGACCACTTTCTTCTCCCTTTCCTCTTTACAGGTCCTTTTTATATAGGCTGCCAGTAGATCATGTAGGCAGGGTGTAAGGTGATCTGAACACTCCAGAACATCCTGGTTTTGGTGGGTCTTCCCACTTTAAATGATTCAATCAAGAAAAATCCCTATCAAGAAAAAAATCACAGCCTCTTGGGTTTTAGTTAATTCCAGATGTAGACAAATAGACAATGAAGAATAGCCCTTACAAGGGATTACTACTTTGTATTAGGTGAACCTTTATGGAGCTTATCACTTATATAGGCTAATTCAGTATCTAGAGGTGGGACTCTTTCAAAGTTTCCCACATTCATATCAACATATTCATTGTTCTGTTCTGATTAATGCAGCCATTTCTAGGAGAGACTGTTTCACAGCACTATTCCTGGTATTCTGGCTCTCACTGTCTTTCTGACCCCTCTGCCACAATATTTCTGGAGCCATTGATGAAGGATATAGACGTATCTGTTGGGATTCAGATCCAATGATCTTTTGATTTTTAAATTCTGTCCAGTTGTGGTATTCTTTGAGTGTCTGCCTGTATGGCTGAACAGTTCTTTTCTATGTTCTTGTAAATAAGCATGACAAGGTATTTCTTGCTTGACCTGAAATCTAATGTATTGTTCATTTTAATAGTAAACCAAATAAAGGATACCTTATTTCAGGGATTGTGAGGTTACACAATGATAGGAATAACTGCTAAGAAGACTGGCAAGAAAAATGTGCTTAGTATTATTTGTCATATCATTGAGATTTGTTTAGTATTTAGTAAGCACAAGGAACCATAATGGGTATCTTAACACAACTTCCAAGGAGTTTGTAAAACGATGATGAGAAAGATGATAATATTACATGTAACTTATCCATTAAATCCTGGGTGAGGGAACTGGAGTTGTCAGACTGGTGAAGATTTCCTGTATGTAAAGCTTATTTAGTTTAACCTATAAATACAGTGCAGATAATGATTTTTCCTAACTGGAGTTAGCATGAATCCTATTGATGGAGTCAGGACCTGGGCTATCATTCTTGCTGTGGCTTCTATGTTTCATCTTCCTGGATTTGAATTAAAATCACTACAATAACAGTTTTTATCTGATAGGAGACCAGGAGATGGAATCCTTCACTTCCCTTGAAGCAAATTTTTCTGCCTCTAAAGTCATAGCCTTAACCCTAGTTAAGTAGATCATAGAAGCAATGTAATCTGCCTTTGAGAATACTAGGGCAGAAGAAGTTGGATGATTTGGTTCATTTTAGGGAAACTTTGGGGTGTGAACTAGCTTTGTGTCGAGCTCCCTGATCCTTCTTTTTGTGGGCTCAGGATTAGGAAGGGAGGCTTGGGGTGAAGGCATCCTTAAGTGGAGGTTGATGTGTGTCCTTCTTTGGGAATGCTCTGTTTAGATCTATACTCCATTTTTAACTGGGTTAATTGTATTCTTGATGTCGTTTTTTGAGTTATTTTTAATATTTATATATTAGCTCTTTACTGGCTGTGTGGTAGTTAAACTTCTTTTCCTATTCTGTAGGCTGTCACTTTGTCTCTATGATGATATCCTATGCTAAACAGAAGCTTTTCAGTCCCATGAGGTCCTATTTATTAAGTGTTGTTCTTAGATTCTGAGCTATTGGTGTTCTGTTCAGAAAGTATTTCCTGTTCCAAGTGAGTTTAAGGCTATTCTTCGCTTTCTCTTCTATCATGTTCAAAATATTTTGCCAGGGACTTTCATCTTTTTAGAGTTGAATTTTGTACAGGGTGATAAATATTGAAGTATTTGAAGTCTTCTGCATGAAGCCATCTAGTTTGAGTGATACATTGTTAAAGATGTTGTCTTCACTTTAGTGTTTATTTTTCACTATAAAAATAAAAATATCAGGTATTCATAAGTGTATGAATTTAGGAATTTATTTGTGGAGCTTTAATTTGCTTTCATTGATCAATGCATCTATTTTTATGACAAAATCAAACTATTTTTATTATTATAGCTCTGTAGTACAGTTTGAACACGGAGATTGTGATAGATCCAGCAGTTGTTTTATTATTCAAGATTGCTTTAGCTTTTCTATTTTTTTGGCATTTTTGTTGTCATTGGGATTTTTTGTTTTTTGTTATTTTCCTTTTTTTGTATTTCCATGTGAATCTGATAATTGTCTTTTCAAGATGTCTGAAGAATTCTGGCCTGGGGGTGGACTTGCACTCCATTAATCTTAGCACTCAGGAAGGAGAGCAGACAGATCTCTGTGACTCTGAGGCCAGCCTGATCTACAGTTCAAATTCTGGGACAGCCAAGGCTACAGAAAAAAACCTTGTCTTGTCTTCAACCCCACCCTTCACCAAAAATAAATAAATAAATAAATAAATAAATAAATAAATAAAGAATAAATAAATAAATAAATAAATAAATACATAAATAAATAAACAGATAAATAAATAAGTAAATGGCATCTTTCTTGTGGTTGTAACATAAGCTTTTAATCACACCACTGGAGAAGCAGAGGCAGAGGCATGTCTGAGGCTTCAAGAGCAGCTGCCTTCATAGTCTTGTCCAATATAACCAAAGTTTCAAAAATCTTGTCTCAAATAAAAGAAGAAAAGGAAGAAAGAAAGAAAGAAAGAAAGAAAGAAAGAAAGGAAGGAAGAAAGGAAAAAAGAAAGGAAGGAAGGAAGGAAGGAAGGAAAAAATGAAAGAAAGAAAGGAATGAAGAAAGAAAGGAAGGAAGGAAGGAAGAAAGAAAGAAGGAAAGAAGAAAGAAAGGAAAGAGGGAAGGAAGGATGTTTCTTTCAGCTGTTGGTGGTGCAAGCCTTTAGTCCCAGCTCCTGGAATGCAGAGGACAGCCCAAGCTATACAGAGAAACCATGTCTCAAAGCACCAAAAGAGTCTGTGTCAAATTGACATTAAATTAGCGAGCACAATACATGGCTGTGCTCCGGCTTGATACCATTAAGTGGAATCCCATAGGTAGAGCATATTTTTATGGTGCTAGAATGCAGCTAAAGGTCCTGAGTACACTTAAAAGGGGCTTTAACAGCCAACTAGAGCCTGAGTCTCTAAGACTACTCTCAGTATCTAAGCATAATTGCTTAATGTCAAGTACGCAAAAACAAGCAAACAAAAATCACTATAAAATAAGGTTACTTTGTGGAATATGTGAACTACAGAATAAATGATAATATAGTCTACTATTTTTCATTTAATAGTATTTTAATATTCAATAGCAATAACGAAGGTAGGTAACATTACAATAGGGAACACTTAAAAATCACTTGGTAGTGGATTGGAGATTTCCCCTGTGGAGAAGTAAGGCCAGACAGGGTTTTTGAAGGTGCCAGGAGGGTACTTGTATATGAGGGAACACTTGGCAACATTCACGAAACTTAAACATCCCTCCTCACAATCAAGGAACACACCTACTCGGCCCAGTGGCTTCTCTATATAGTGCTGGAATACTGCGCATGTGGTGAGGAGACTGTAATGATTATCCTCCTTCACACACACAAGAAGAAAGGCACAGTCAGATTCAATCAGCTGGTTTCTATTCCTTAACCAGGAATCCTTACAGACCCCTACAGCCCAGTCCCAAGAGTCCTTCAAATCAATCTCCCAGTAATATTTCCCTGAGATGAAGCTCTGTGATCCCCAGGAAGCATAATAGCATCCAGCAGAATCTGCAGATGTATCTTTACGGTGAGGTCTGAAGTTGAATCTTCTCATGGCATTAAAGACGTTTATCTTGGGATGGATAATGGTTATGTTTTCAAAGAAAATGCACACTGTGGGAAGAAGAAACAATTTACGTAAAATGATTGTTTACATTTCTCAGGTGAGAAAGGTCCATAGAAATCTTCATGGATTTTAAAAAGAGAAGGCTAAGACCTGAGTTAAATTTGGCTCAAATATACCAATGTCAAGGATTTCCACAAGAAAAGAGTGGTAACATGCTGAAAAGTTTTTTGAAAATTTCAGATGCTGTAGAGGAGGGAGCCTCAGCCTACTTCTTTCAGGGGACTTTTAATTACACCTGCCTAAGGGAAGATGTGTGCATTGCAGCAAGGGCCAGAGCAAAGGCTGTGCTCATGGATCTACATGAAAGTTATTTTTATGTAGATGTAAGTAGTGATAACTTTCATATTGGTGTTTTCATTTGTATCTAACTGAGCATATTTATACTCAAGGAGAATCTAAATATGCTCTAGAAGTGGATCCCTGAATGTATCTGTCCTCCTTTAACCTCTGGTTCATCTGATACTCTTTCTCTGTGAGGTTACAATTGACTTTTAGATCTACAAGGGGGATTTAGACACTGCCTCATGTCCTATCAATTTGTTTCATTTTCATTGCTCATGATACATGGTTTTGTCTGTTTAGTTATTTTATGATTTTCTTTTTCTGTTCCTTTTGTGATAAGGTCTTGCTATTTATCCTAGAGTAGCATGGAACTCACTATGTTGACCAGACTGTCCTCAAACTCATTGTCAGTCCTCCTCTCACTAGGTTTTTGTTACTGGGAATACTAGTGTGCACCTCTTTATCGTGTGTATTTTCAATCTATGGAGTAAAATGTAATGTAAAAAATTAATTGCTAACACATTGAAAGAAAAATAATCAAATATCTTCATTACTACCTACACTTAGTTTGAATTAGATTGTCCAGATTTAAATTACCATTCTTCTAAATGAAAAACTGATAGTCTCTTTTCAGCCCCTATCACATACAACATGATATTGGTATTCATTTCTCTTTGTTTGTTGGTTTATAAGATGACCACGTGATTAAATAACATTACACTGTGACTTACCTAGACATATTCCTGGAGAATTAAAATATTTGTGTTTCCAAAGGTTATAAAATTATTGAAGGGTACCTCTGGTCATTTTATCACTCACCTTGGAAGTGCTTGTAACATTCATTCAGTCCAGTGATGGGAAGGGCATTGAGTTCTGGTTTCACAGATGGGGGCATGCTCAGCTGCATTGACTCACTCCTGCAAGGAAAAAAAAATATTGATCTGTGTGGTATAAAGATATCACACAGTGATTAGGAACAACTTCATTCCAAGTTCAGCCAAACACCTCAGGGGATAAATCCATTGTTATACAGGCCTGACAACTTGAGTTCAATCCTTGTAACCCTTGATGGAAGGAGAAGTTGTCCCCTGAACGTTGTCCTCTGACGTGCATACAGGTGCATGTACATGCACACACACTCACACACACACACACACACACACACACATAAAAATAACAAAACAAATGAAAAAATCCCAAAAACATCATACATAAACAATTGGCTATTGGCTATTTAAGATATCTGCACTTTGCTAAGGCAGCTTGGTCTATTTCATAGCATATTTCAGGGTACTTGCACTGATGGCTAAACTCACCTTCTGAACATGTTGTTCAAACCCTGCAAAGAAAACAAGAAAAAGTTAGAGTTCTGAAAAAATGGCATACAATGTTTATTTATTAAGTTCATATAAATGTCAATCACCATCATACCAGTCTATCCTGGTAAATTATATTCAAGTCTCAAGATGATGCCAACCAAATAGGTTAGCAGAATTCAAATTCTTGATGAAATCAGACTGGAGAGTAAAATTTGAGAAGGACATGGGTATTGACTGTACATTGCTTTTGAACCCACACAAGCCTGCAAAGGTAACTTTCCCTGAGCTTGTCTACAAGCCATAGGGATACTTCAGCTAGGGATACTTCAAAAGGGTGGCCTCATCCCTGATTGGTGCCTCACTCCTTTAATTTCAGAATTGCAGGGTTAGAGGCCTGAGTATTATTGTGAGTTGCAAGGTACCATGTACTACCATATAGGATCCTATCAATAAATGCCAACCTCCTAAAAACTCTCCAAAACACAGCGTTCAAAGAGAAGAAATTAAGCCATAGATTACTTAAATATTGTACACAAAATAAAGTAGAGGTAGAGGGTGTTGGAAGCAGAAATCACTGATTTTCAGTTTTCAGAGAAGCAAGGCAAGAAGGCCAAAAATAAGCACGTATCCTCTGGAGAGTCTACTGACATAATTTCAAAGAGCTTGTTCTTTCAAGATTGTTACAGAATTTGGTTCTCCAGAAAATTTCTGAAAAGGAAACTCCCTAACAAAAATGCAGGGAATATTGAAAGATGTCTTAGTACAACAATCATCACTGTGGGCCTTAGAAAATAAAGCCTCTTCCTGCACTCCTCCATGCTCACCTGCAGCAGGACCACATATGGCTCCTGGGACATTGCCATCAGCTCCTGATACATTTCTCTTAGTTCTTTGCTCTTTTGGATCATCATGGCTTCACTTGTCCTGAGTTTCTCTAAAATACATTGGCCTTCGTTTCTCATAGACTCAATGTGTTTCTCTTCCTCTTCACAGAGGAGTGGATGCAGAGTCCTATACTCTGTCCTGATCATTTCTTCCCGAAGAGTCAAGTAGTCCTGAAGAAAAAAGGGACATTCTCAATCATATTTGTAAAGTATTTTATCCTCCTCCATTGCATCCTCCTATGCTTAAATTTCATAAATGTCTTGTATAACTCTGCTGCATATACTCTGATTGACTGTCTCCACTTTTCAGAAAATGTAAATGCCTTGGTTTCATTTATTTCTTCTTTATTAATTACACAGGCAAACAGACACTAAGCATTTTCACCTATATTAGAGATGCAGAGGTGCCTGAAGAAAAGGTATTGATTGACAATTCATATGTTCACAAAGGTATGAAACTCTGCATGCAATAATTAGAATTCATAGTGTAGTCTAATGCAGTGTCCTGAACTGTCAGCAATTCACTCATTATTCCCAGACTCTTCTCCCACAGCCAGACCATTCTTTCCATGAGCAGAGATATATTATACACACAGAATTAGAAGCCAGCAGGACACATTTTTGTACTATCATATCCCATGTCTTATATTCCAATTTTGAATGACTAATTTTGAAAAATATCTGCTTCAACCAGATTTTAAGCATGAATCTCATACTCACCAACCACAGAGTTGTCATTCTGTTCTCTGCCTCTAAATTCTCTTGATTTTCTTGGATCTTCTCCCATAACGATGCCATTTGCTTCAAGAGTCTTTCCTGTAAAACACAATGAATATCAGCTTTGAAAAATAATACTGATAGACAGACTCTTGGACAATTAATATAATTATGTTAGTAAGAGCAGAAGGATCACAATATTATTTCATTTTTTTCTCCTTGTAACTATGAATTTTAGATTTAGAACATAGAAATAGAAAATGCAGCATACCCCTTTGCTCAGGTATAGTGATTAATAATTTTGATTAGATGCTTGGCTGTACCTGATTCCAATGTACTTTTCCTAATTTAGTCTCTGGGTATAGACACTTTTTAAAGACATAAAGTTAGTATTGCATTTTCTAGTGACCAGGGCATAATATATCATAAGATACAAATGATCTTTACACTCATGGGTCAAGGCATATTTACATTTCTAGTCACCCTTTCTTTATTAGATGTTAATAAAGTGCCACCATTCTGAAAACAGTGCCTTTGTCATAATGAGGACCAGCATCTTCCTGTGGTTTCCTAAGCCTACCCCTCTCCAGCTTGCAAGTTCTCTCAGAAGCATCACTTACTATTTGATCCTCAGCAGCTACTTCGATTGCACAGTGTCTGTGTCCTCTGTGCCCATGACAGTTAGAGCAGAGTTGACAGAGGAAGATCCTGTTCTCAGCACAGAAGATTCTCTTAGTATCCTCGTGGGTCACACACTTTTGCTCCTCAGAGCTCAGGTCCTTCATGAGGCTGGCTTGTCTGACAATGGACACCAGATTCTTCAGAACAATGTTGGTTCTCAAATCCTTCTTGGACAGTTCCCTACACATAGGGCATTGGACAGGACGTTGGATGTCTTCCCAGGAAAGGTGGAGGCAGGCTCGACAGAAGCTGTGACCACAGCTTATGGTTACTGGGTCTGTCAGGCATTTCAGGCAGATGAAGCAGGTGAGTTCTTTCTGGAAGGCTTGTGAGATGTCTGACTCCATTTTTCTGAGGGAAGAAAAGCAGAATTGCTATTATTTCACTCCAGAGAAGCCAGAAACAGCACAAAAACTGATGCAAATTGTGATTTAATTCTGTGTATGTCAAAGCAGGCTTCATTTTTCAGCAAAAAATAATCAAGGTAGGTATAGGATTGCAGTTGCTGATCTTTCCTCTCTCACTCTTCTTGACAAAAATATAGATTAATCTGATGTCCTTCTGAGTCCTTCTACCTGCATCTTTTTTGGAGACTCCCTTCAAATTAGTGTCTTGGTTTATGGTCTGAGACATGCTCTACAAGTGTTTATAAACAAAAAATATACACAGGTTTGATCAAACTTAACATCCACTTGTTGGCCTTTTACTACAGACCTAGGTAGGTTAAACACACAATTTTTTGTTGTCTATCCAAGCAAACACTCTGTAATTAACATGGACTCTATTAAATGCTTTGCTTGATTTCTGATTTTAGCATCTTAGTGGTTCACATCCCACTGGCCCACCCTTTACACTTGAAGGCAATATTAATTATTTGACTTCTTTCTGATGCAAATACCTAACAGGAATAAGAATTATGTTGGCTCATAATCCGAGGATATTGTCCACCATTGTGGAAAAATATTGAGGCAGAAGTTTGAGGTACCTGGTCTCATTTCATCCAAAATCAGCAAGCAGAAAGCAAGGAACACTTGCTGCTCAGCTCCTGTTTTTATTCCTTCCTTCAGTTTGAGACCTCCACCCATGGAATGATAAGTGATCTCAAAAGTGTTTAGTGTGGATCTTTCCAAGTATAGTAAATCTACTTCAAGTAATCCTTCACAGACATCCCCAGAGGTTCCAAGGGTTTCTTAAATCCCATAGAGTCAAATATTAGTGTACTCTCTGGGAAAACTTTTTTTACTTTTTTTTAACCAAAGATAGATTTCTGGGCTGAGTTTAAGGGATGAATCCTTGAGGCATAAATGAGGCTCTCATGACAGCTGGAGACTTGGCTATCTCAGCAAGTGGTGCCCATTGCCCTTCTCTTTGAATATCTACACAAATGAAGAATCTTGGTTTGATTGTGGTAAATATCCACCAAAAACTTAAGCTTCTGGTGTCTGAAGCAAATGGAGTCAATGACTTTAGCTGGTGGTCATCTGTACATCAAATACAATACTAATGCTCATTGTCAAGATGAGTTTAGAAATGAGATGAGGATTCCAATGATGCCTTCCTTAACTTACCTGATGGCCCTCCTTCCCAATTTTTTCTGTACATTTGATACTTAAATTCAAAGTAATAAATAAGTACACAGAGATAGAAAATTGAACACAGAATTGAAAAAATGCACCTGATTTTAACTAGAATCTACTTTCATGAAAAGAATATTGTGACTAGTCTTTTTTAAGTTTAATCACATGTACACTTGCAACCTAGTAAAACAGTCAATAGCAGTAATAGCCAGGATGGTAAACTATGACCACACATTACTTCACACTGTGATATCTTCCTAAAGTTTACAACAGAAAAATTCTAAAATATTTTCCTTTGCTAAATCATGAATTTTTACTTTTATACATAATAAAATGTAATGAACAAATCTCTAAACACTAGTAATTTTCAACTCATTCAGAGTATTCATTTTTATATATTATGTGTACAGTTAATTTAAAGATGTCCATGTTGCATGTGTGAAATATATTAGAAACACTCTAAAATGTTTTTAAAATTTAGAGAAAGAAGAAAATTGGAAAGTAGAAAATCAGAGCAGAAACAGACTGTGTATATATATACATGTATAAACTAAAATTATCTATAGCTATAACTCACAGTATATTTATGAAGAAAGATGACCAAATGGGAGCAGAATCTCTTTTGATAAATAGCCAAATTTTAAGCAATTTTAAGCAGAAACCTTAGTTTGGTAATAAATTAAAATCAGGAAATATCAATGATGTTCCACCTGTAAAATGTGCACTCACCCAAGGAATTGTCTTTGGCTTCAGCAGGTTTGAGTGTAGACACAATATTAGCTCAGCTCTGGGGTGTGATCCTCAATGTGTGGAGGGGATAGATCTAGCAGTCTAGGAGCCAGAAGATATGGAAACACACTCTGTCTAGTCTAGAGAAGAATCAACCTGGCTGGTCCCTGGAGTGTCTTTATATACTCTCTAAAGACCACACCCACTTCCTCCCTTGTTGTTTTTAGTAATGCTTCCAATAGGTGAGTTCTTGAAAATATTCACAATGGATGGAAGATTGAATTAACTTTGTGGCCAATGTTCACAAGCAAACCTCCACAGCAAGGTTTCCTGAGTCAGTGCATGGCTGGGTGTGGTAGCTCACACTTTGAGTCTATAGAGTGCTAGGGAATGGGCTGCTGAAGCAGGAGGTAAATAGTATAAATAATGAAAAGTTTTTGTCTGAATTTGTCAAATGTTAACTGACTGGACACTGTTATAAATTAATGGAGTTTTTTGTCTGAATCTGTCAAATGTTAGTGGACTAGACATTGTTAATGTAATTCTTGACTGTATATATTGTATATACTTATTGGATATAGTTTTTCTCATATTAGTTATAAGCTTTTTTTAATTTTAGACAAAAAAGGGGAAATGTGTGGTATTGTGTTCCCTGAAATAAACTTATCTAGGGTCAGAGAAAGGAACAGCCACAATATTAAACATACATGATAGGCAGGGGTGGCACACGCCTTTAATCCTAGCATTCTAGAGGCAGAGTTCTGCCTGGATCTCTGTGTGTTAAAGGATACAGCCAAGCATGGTAACTCATGCCTTTAATCCCAGAAAGTGAGCCTTTAATCCCAGTGAATGATGGCAGAAAGCAGAAAGGTATATAAGGCATGAAAACCAGGAACTAGGCTGGTTAAGCATTCAGGCTTATCAAGAAGCAGTTCAGCTGAGATTCATTTGGATAAGGACTCAGAAGCATCCAATCTGAGGAAACATGATCAGCTGAGGAACTGGCGAGCCGAGGTAGCTGTGGCTTGTTCTGCTTCTCTGATCGTCCAGCATTCACCCCAATAACTGGCCTCAGGTTTGATTTTATTAATAAGACCATTTAAGGTTCCTGCTACAAGGAGGACTTTTAGTTCAAGCCCTTCCTAGGATATGCAATAAGAACTCGTCTAAAAAATACAGAGTAATTTTGCTACAACATTTTGCGATTTCTAAATATTTTGGGGTATGCTTCTAGTTTTGTTTTTCCTTTTTTTTTTCTATCAACTGTCTTAGATTTAATTATTGGAAGCAAACTAAGTGGAAAGGTTACAATAGAGAAGAGATACATGTCAGTGCTTTTTAGAAACTGAAATGGGACAGACTGCAGGCTGCCCCTCAACTTGATCCTTTGCAAACAAAGATGTCCACGGTGTTCCTGGAACTCTGGCTCAGGAAATGGGGCAATTGCTAGTTCTGAACACTGAAGTCACCTTGCTCATCACTCATTCCTGGCCAGCATCTGGAGCACTGCTTTGCTAGCTCTAGTCATCACCCTTCTTCTTGTTGCCAGAGACAATGTCATCAGTCCGTAGAAGCAGAACTACAGACTCCACTGTGGTTTTGTACATTTGTAGATTCACAGCCAATGGCTCCCATATACCCAGATCTTTCATGTCCCCTGAGGAACCAGTCTCCCCCTTCCTACCCCAGGAATCACAACTCTCCTGTGTGTGCTTGGCCCGAAGGGAGGTAAGTAAATGCATGGTACTGGCCCCAAAGTTCTGGATCAAGGTACAAAGGAGAACCTCTAAAGCTTGGGCCACAGCTCTATATGGCCATTGTTCCACACCAGTCATGGCCTTAGATTTTTGTGTCAAGGCATGGGCCACCGCCTTCCCTGAGGCTTCACCACAAGGCTTTCTCCTTTCTTGTATTCCAGAGAAGAATCTAGTAGCACAAACTTAGGGTTCTTGATATAGTGGTGCATATGTGAATGGGTCACATCCTTGTTAATCATGACTCCATGTCAGACACACAAGTCTTCAATATTGACCTAGGGATTTTTTTTCCACTCTTGCATACTTCTTCATGTCAATTTCCTTTACGGCATTCTCTTCAAACTGCATAGTCTCAACAGCATCTAGGGCTATATTGCATTACAAAGAAGACCATTGTCTGATGACTTTTGTAGTAATAGAGCTATTGATGATGTTCAGCACTATATCATGGTTATTGACATCAATGGGGTACTGATTTTATTCAGAGTGCTGATCATATTATCCAGTGTCATGTAGTAAGCACTGATCACCACTGTTGGGTGCATCTGCTGCTCTAGAAAGTGCTCAGCCACAGACAGCATTTCTCCTGTAAGAATAATTACTGATGTGGTTCCATCTCCAACCTCTTTATCCTGGGTCCTTCTAATTTCAATCATGGAATTGGCTGTTGGATGCTGGACTTGAATCTCTCAAAGAATGGTATTGCCATCATTGGTCATCACCATGCCTCTCATTGTCTCCAAAAGCATCTTCATCATAGATTTAGGTCCCAAACATGTCCAGATGATGTCTGCAATTTTCTTAGTAGAATTGATATTTCCAGATTGAACTTTTCTTCAAGATTCATGTTTTGTATTTTGACTGAGTATGAGCAATGGACCGTGGTCCATCATGGTGGCATGGTGAAGAGCCCTGTACCCAGAGATGGGGAAGCAGGCAGAACCTTCTGGAAAGAAAGAGCCATGAAGGAAACATTGCTTCTTCAGAATTGACATAGAAACCTCCCTTTTTCCTTTTGTAATTTAACAGTTAATGATATCAATCTATGATTTTAGCAAATATCAACATTAAAAAATTCTTAATATTTCTTGAGAATGTGTCCAACTCATTTGTATCACATTCACCTCAACTGGAATTGCTTTGAGATTCATCCCCTTTCTCTACCCACTCAACTTTCTGTTCTTTCTTGTTTTTTAATACATGGGGAAGCAGGACAGGGGTGGCACATGCCTTTAATCCTAACATTCAGGAGGCAGAGGCAGGCAGATCTCTATAAGTTCGAGG